CCTTGGCTACTGTGACTAATTGTCTCCATTCCGCGAGCCCCGCCCCCATTCTCAGCCTCTCGGCCACAGGTCACATTACAGTATTTCCGTAGTCATCTTCATGCATTTTTACACTGCCCTTTTTACATTTCTCTGCAGAACCCGAGGCAATATGCTCACACCTGTTTTCTAGTTCACTAATTCTTCCTTCAGCTCCACCTACTCCTCCTCACAACTCCCCCAAGTAGTCACTTCCTTCTCATTTCTCACTGTTTCGTCTTCTAATCATTTCACACCAGCCACTTCTTACACCGGGCTGCTTTTCTTTCGAAAACCTATTTAACGGGTTCAAACACACCCAGCACCTATGCGAATCTGTTTCTAATGCTTTGGCTGGTTGCTCTACTGTTGTCTCTTCACTCGAAGTGTGCTCACATGGTTTATAAAGCTCTCCTTCCTTATTAAAAGTGGGCGTGGTTTGTCTGTAGAGAAGGAGGGGCTGTGGTTTTGATCCAGAGCACTTGGGTCCTGACTGAGTTGAAACAGCTCTCACATGAAGATCATTCCATTTCTCTTCCTCAAATGGGTGGGAGAAATCAGGGCTGTGACCTTGCTTCGGGCATCCATTTACAGTGAATAGCATTTTCTACCAACAGCCTCAGGCATGGAATGCACACTGTCAATCTGTCCTTGGTCAGTGTTTTCATGGTTCTTACCTCATTGGTGGGGATATTTCTGAAGGTCTAGGTTTACTTTGAGGGGGCACATTTGCATGTCTCTACCACCCAGGGTTATAAGGCACCGGCCATACATTATATCTTCTCAGGTGGTCAGAATTACACCCTCACCTGGGCTTTTCACTGCTCAGTCTCAGCTCCCTACCATGGGTGTGCATGTCTGTCTGTCTTTCTCTCTGTCTTTCCCTCCCTCGCCCCTCTGCTGTATTGATAGGATTTCTGCTATGAACTCTGTGTCACCTTTCTGGGATTTGATGGGGAAAGAGACCTTCCTCATCAGCCTATGTTTCCTAAGTCCTGATCTCTGGTGCAAACTTTTACGTCCACTTCCCCTGCAACCCCGGCAGGTTCTTTAGGTTTGCACCAAACCACAAACCATCCCATGTTCCTGGAAGACTGGCTGCCTGGCAGAGGCCTCAGTTCCTAGGCAACGCTAATTCTTTTGGAGTGCCTGGCTCATGTCAAGAACTTAATAAAAGCTGGTTATCTTCTATTCGCTATCCAAGAACAGCAGTCAAGAAAGGCCACTGTTATCCAAAGCATGGAATTAAAAGGTACACCCTTAAAGACAGCACACACACAGCAATCATTTCCTCTCACTCTAATGAGGCATAATGGGCTGGGGGTGGGACAGGCATGCTTCCGGGTCCATTTTTCAGAGAGCACCTGACTCATTACCCCCATTGTTTAGAAGTCTTGGAACCCCAGGATGGATGACACCCATTTATTGAGGGTGAAGAGCAGTGGGGGGACTTTCCATTGTTCGGAATCACTTATGGGGAAAATCTTGAATTTCTTGTACTAAAACTCAAGAGCACACTGCTCCCAAGTACATTACTTCTTAGTCATGCTTTATGAGGGGAGGAAGGCAGAAATAAAAGATTCTACATGTCTGAACAAAATTCTCAGAGCAATATGTACTTGGTGTGTTTGTACCACCATCATCATAAATAATAATAAAGTCAGAAAATGTTTTACCATATGGTTTTAGAGATTGCTTTAAAACTAGAATTTTTCCTTTGGGCTGGAATTTCCACAAAGAACATTACCAAAGTGTAGACTTGCACGGCCACCAATGGCCAATGCATCTTAAGCTAAACACTCAAGGGCTCTTGTTGGAGAATGCTTTGTGCTAAAATGCATGCTGGTACTTTTTAGAACATTCCTACATGAAAATTACTTCCTAATAGGTTGGTTTTCCTTTTTAATCAGGTTACATGGTGTGAAGTTAAGAAATCTCTAGCACATCACAGTGGATCTGAGGAGCGCTTGCAGCACAACATGATGCATTTTCTCATGTCAAACCATAAACTGTAAACAGACAAATCCATGAACCTGTGTATTTGCAGCACCTTCCAGCACCCATATTGTTTTTACTGTGCTCTTGTTAAAAAGCAAATGTTAACACACATCCATCAATAAAGTCTGAGAAAGGTGATATACTCTTATTTTTCCATGTTAAAATGAAAGATTGGGTCACACATAGATTTTGAAATGTCAAGGTGGGCTAACAAGCAGTTGAAAAGTCAATTGAGACAGCTTGAGCCTTCGGTTGGCCAGTCATTATACCCACGGAGACTGTCCCTGGTATGCTTACTCCTTTGGGGTAGATCTCTATGGGAACACAGTGTAGTCTCCACCTCCTTGACAGTGCTGGTAAACCCAGCCATCGCCAAGCTGCTCTGCACTTAGCTTACCCTACACTTCCAGGGTTCACAGCAGAGCCACCTCTCTGTCCTTACTAGGAAGAGGTGGACAAATAGTAAATCCATACGTACCTACCTCATTAAATACACAGCCTCCAAGACTCAGAATTTCATAATTCAGGCCCTGCAGGCAATTTGCACATTGAAGCCTTGATCTACATTCTGCATATGATTAAAATCTTGGGTTCTCTGAAAAATCTGGCTTAGCCATTATAGGGACTCACAGGGAGGATTCCGAGACCTCTCTGTCAACTTTGCTCCCTTCTCATTTGTTTGACAGATACTATCTTGTGAGATGATACTAATTATTCCGTTCCTAGGAAGAAACAGCTCTCTCCAAAAGAACTAGCCATTAAAATGCAAATAGGTGTTTCCCACTTCACTGGTTAGCCAGGAAGGACTTTAACAGCTCTCTGTCTGGAGGGGAAGCTATCTCAGCCATGCTTCAACCTGGCCCTTTCATGGAGGCATGCCCAGCGTTGAGTCTCATACTGCAGAGAGTCCTCTGGCTCTGACCCCTTCTGTGTGGTGGCATTTATAAGTTAACGCATAGACACCACTGAAGAAAAAAGCTGAGTCTAGATTCTACTCACTGCACCCGGCCAGCTCTCACTTAGACTAATTACTTAAATGATTTAAAAACCAATGAATATTCATATGCTGGTGCTTCTGGAAAACAAAGAACAGCTGAGCCCAGGCAGCCCCACCTCCCTTTTCTCTTGTTTGGAGCAGTTCCACTTGCACAACTAAATCAACCCCTAGCAGGGCCTCACAAAAGTCTGGTCAGGAAGGTCAGAGCAGCCAGTTTCACTGAGATGTAGACCAGGACCTCAACTTCAGCTGGAGGACCCTCCTAACCCTCCAGGTCCCTCCACTACTCTTACATGAGGTCCAGCCTGGGTCCTCTTAAATATTTGCAAGTTGATTCATCCTAGAGCAATACACACTGTGGTGTGTGCTGACAAAGTTTGTGATGGGGAAGTTAAACAAGAATGAGCATGGGGTGGTACCCGAGAGTGTCTAGGATGAGACGAGGCCCTACCACACAACGCTGTTGGGAGTAGGAACACCAACTCTTATAGTAGAGACTTGGTCCTTCCTAGACATGATACCATCGTCCTGGGAAGTCTAAAAAGGAATCCATAGCCCTTCTTGGCAACCACTCTTCCTGCAATGTTCCAGCCATGGCCAGCCCACATCCAACCTCAAAAGCATGCTTTACTGGAATTGGAAGATGCCCTTGGGAACAGCACACTGCACACAGTGAACTATCCTCAGCAGACAGGACACCTCTGTTATTAGAAAAGGCAGATGAAAGTCATTTGAATTTGCTCAAGCAGAGACACAGGAGGTTTACTTCATGTCTTCTCTAGTTCTCACAGCATGCTGGAACTTTCAACAGGAAGTGGGAAGGGGACAAAGACACTGGACTTAAAGCCAGAGCCCAGTGGTTGCTCCCAGGATGGGAGTAACACAGAAAAGCTATAATGATAAGAAATGATAAAACTCCCAGTGCTTCAAGGATCAAAGCAATTGGAGATCTTCACAGCATCCATAAGACAGAGGATCATCCCTTTGAAGGACACACTTCTTATAATCCCAGAAATACCAGGGACAGAGATCTAAGTAAACTATCAGACCTCACCACAGGTCAATCTGTGCTGTGCAGTTGGTGACACAGAAAGAATTTGGAAAACTCTGTCACAATATCCCTTTGCTACCAGACTGAAGAAACCACCTACCAGTTAGTACTTTCAGATTAGCTTTGCATTTGCTGTTTTCTGTTCAGTTGATCTACAAGGCTTTGAAGTCTTTTGACACCCAAGGTTCCTGGATCCAATACTGGGAATCTGGGAGAGGAGACAGGAGCTGTACCCTGACCCCAAGGTACCTCCTGAGCTACTGTGTCTCCCCAGAGCATCAAGGTGGCTACTCTTGTAGCTAGTATACCTTTTTAAAACACAAAATCAAACCCAGCATCGGGAGTCCCCATGAATAGGGTTAAGACAGCTAATGCATTTTCTTTCTTTTTCATCAAACCACCGAAAGACTATAAGAGTGTGCTTTCACTATTTTGAAATGGAGTTTTAACAGTGCATTAGCCCAGGAGCTCTGTTCTCAAATGTCTCCACTATAGGACTTGGCTGAAATTTCTGTTAGGACAGACAGCTTATTCTCACTGGCACATCCCCTAGGGTTCAGTCACTAGCAATTAGGAATAATTTCACAAAGCCTCATTTAATGTGAACTTCATCAGAAGCTTTGGGTAGTATTTTTAAAGCTAGCAAATGCATATTGACATCTAGTATCTGGAGAAAACCGGCTACGATTTCTACGTACAATGCAGAAAAGAAAACATTACCAACAGGCCACCATGTTGATTTCTTATCAGAGAAACTCTCTCCTAACATTCATGTGTTCCGTTCTTTGTCACTCACATTTCCCATCAACAACCACAACCAATATGCATTCAACCTCAAAACTGCCGAACACATCCATTGAAGCAGCTCGTCACCCTCAATCCTACACACGAGACAGTGTGGTACTCTTCCCACTAAAGCAGAAGTGCGGTACTCACCTTCTGGCTCTCCACAAAGGGTACACTGAGACTCTGTGGAGAGAAGAGAGAGAGAAGGGTTAGCCATGATTGTGTCTGCAGACTGCTCGTGAATGCAGGCAGCCAGAACAGCCTCACACAACTGGGGCTCCACTGCCCAGAGTCCCCAAGAACCTAGCACAGAGCTTTGCTGACCTAGCAGTTCAGCAAGTTTTATCTAAAAGCCGGACCTGCAAATGCTTTGAGCACTGACTTTATTAAGATAACAACCTCTTCATCATACGCGTAAGTGCACATCTAATATGTTTTCATAACTGTGCAGTGCTCAACACTTTCAAACAACTTAGATGAATTGGAATGGTGATGTTACCATTTTCAATAGCTAAACATTTGACTACTGATCTATTTGGGTTACAGCTCTGATGACCTTTAGATATTCAAAGTGTATCGTATCTCATCAAAGACACTAAAATCTACTGACACTGATTGAGTTCTCCGTAAGTCCTAAATTGGTTCTCTAGAATGGACAGAGACGCGTAGAACCATGGTATCTGCAGTATATGACACAATGGGAAGTCACACACCTATAGTATAGATATAAGCGTAGGAAGAGTGATTACTGCTTATAGTCCAGAGTTAGCCATAAACACACACAATATCCATTTCCAGAACTCTAGGACACAAGAAAGCCAAAGACATCCCTGGGGAGTAGGGAGATATTTCAAAGTTTGTCTCTCTGGCTAACTACAGGGTACACAAAGCATAATGGCATCCAGTTGCCCCAGGTGCACATGGTGAAATGGGTATGAACCCGGAGCTTGGAATGCACAGGCAAGGTAACTTCTGTATCACTCAAACCTATGCATTGAGATACCCAGTCATGGTAACCTTTGTGTGCACCCAGACACATATAAAGGGGCACCAAAGATATGGTGACTTCTGTGTCCACCTAGACACAAGTGTTGGTGTATACAGGCATGGTGACCTCTGTGCTCCCCCATACACTTGGGGTGCATGGATATGGTGACCTCAGCATGTATCCAGACACAAACCCAGAAGTAGAATGACATGATGATCTCTGGGCAGGCAGACATACAGTGGGGTGCAGAATGCCCAGTGGTATCCCCATGTAGCCCATGTGATAGAAAAGCAGGCCAGTGTGCGAAATGCCTACTGTGCATACATTTTTGGGAGGAACTGCAGATCTGACAGGAGTACTGTAAGCACCACTGGAAACAGAAGCTAAAGCTTGCATGGGAGCAGTCCACACATATGCACGATGCTCTCTGTAGGGGCCACAGAAACTCCCACATGAAAAGCCAAGAGTAAAACATCACCTATTTCAGCCTCAGCGTCTAGCTCAGAATCCAGGAGTTAGGAGCCATCTCAGGCTATGGCCATCTCACTGACCTCATGCAGAAGGCACAGCTGTAAAAGCCTGTGCTAGGCTAGCTCCACAGAGGGATAGTGTGTGTCCTGTACAAGCTCTACAGCCTGAGTCCAAATCTCCACAACCCACATAAAAGCTGGAAGCAGTAGCCCATTTATCTTTAATCCCAGTATACCCCCCACAGAAATATGGGGAGTGGAGATAGGAATCATAAGGGCCAGCTAGACTGACACACAGCAGTGAGCTATAGGAACCTGTCTCAAACACAGAGGAAGGTGGGGACCGACACTAGGCACTGTTCCCTGATCGCCATGTATGCTTCTCTCTATACTAACACTCATGTGTACACACAGACACACACACACACACACATACACACACACACACACACACACACAGCCTATGCTGCCAGTGGGGTTTTTTTTCAATGCTCAGACTGGAGCCAAGATTGCCCTCTCCCCCCTGCCTGCCGCCCCAGGAAAGGAGCTCTCTCAACTTGAGCATGCAGTTTCTGAACTAAGCTACAAGAACTTTGCATGGTGCCTAGGAACACAATGCTGTGCGCACAAAACTGAGAGTCATGTTGGGGCCCAGGCCTCAGGGGAATAGTGACAGAACACAAGGCAGCAGCATGCCCCATAGGACACCCACCAGGAGGAACTAGGTCCTTCTGCATGGAAGAGCAATTCCCGGTCCCACCTTCAGCAGTAACCAAGCCATTCCACGCTCTCTGGGCCTGTGCTTTCTTAGTGTATGAACTGAACCTCAGTCCTGGCTCTATACCATGGATCACAATGCCCAGAATCCATGCCAGCACTAACCATGGTTAAGAACTTTCCCCTGAGATTCCATCTCATCCCAGTTGACAGCACAAGAAGGTGGTTTCCAGTGAAGCTGAACCTACCAGGCATGGCCTATGCAGAGGGAAACCAGCGCGGTGGCTGCTTTGTTTGCTTTAACTCTGTCCTCTGTCTCTAAGGCCCCAGTGGAGACACTGAGAAGCTGATGGCGCTGTCCTTTAAGCATGCCTCACTAGGAAAAGTGGCCATTTTACACGAGGGGGTGACACTGACTGGCTAGCAGAGCGGAGAGAAAATGGCCACTCGGAGGGTCTAGCATCCGGCCTGCCAGTGGACCAGAGACCCTGGCTTAGTAGGGACGCTGACCTATCAGAACCTTGACCACTCCTCTTCTCCTGATGAGGAAGGATGGATGAGCTGCCGTATGCAACGCAGTGCATGTTGGGATGAGCTGTTGAGGATGCACTTAAATGAGACTCATACGACATGGTGCATGGAGGCCAACACAGGACCTTAGCTTACTAAACGGTGGCTTGTGTCCTACCAACTAGAGCCACCGAGAAAGGGTATGCCAGCTCTTGTCTCCTATCCTTCCCTGGTCCTCCAGCCCTGGCCTTTGATTTCCTCAAGCCCCAAAGGTTGACTCCCATGGGAGTCTATAATGATGAACAGTATCGCCATGGAATCCAGCATGACAGGGTTTGGTCTGTGGTCATTCTTCCTAAAGAGCACATATTTAAAACATGCAGGATATGGTGATAATTGCTCTGGACACGCTGTGAGTCTGTCACCATTACTGGACTCATTTAAAATAAGGAAACAACTCTACAAGGTTATGTCAATTAATACCGCCTGAGAAACCTGCCTGTGATTTCATGTGTGTCCTACACACCTGCACCAGATGTGGCCCCTTGAGAATCTGGTTATTCTCAGAGCTGCCAACAGCCAGAGCCAAACCCACTGCTCTCTGACATATGGTAAGTACCTTATTTTAATCCCACAGGAAAGGAGGAGCCACCCCTCTGAATGGTGAAGACTTTAAATGCACCCACGTATTTTAACAGAGGCCCTTTCCAACGCTGTATGGGAAGCAATACGCATGCCCTCTCCATGCTTTGCCACGGTGAGAGCCCCTACGCATCCACTCTCTCCTAACTGCAGAGCCAGCTCAGCGGTGAGAGTGTAGGAGGTGATAGCATAAGGATACAAGAGATAAAGCAGCTCTCCCCTACCCCAAGCCCAAAGAGGAAAGAGCCCCCCTGTGCACTGAAGCCCCCGTGTGTGGCTGCTGACTCAGAGGCAATGCCCAGATCCAGAATTTCTGGCCAGGCCAACCAGGAGTTCATTGACAGGAGCCATCGCATCCCTGAGGCTTCTTCAGATCCATGTTCCAGTCTTCATGCCACAGAGGGGACAGTGCTCTGAGAAGGATGCTTCCAGGTGACCCCCAGCAGTGGGAGAGGCAGAGAAAGGATGGCAGGAGGAGGCATGGAGCACGGAGGCTGTGGGAAGCGTGTGTACGGGGTCAGATGTTGGGTGCTTGGCAATGATTCTAACCAGCTTTTGTGTGCTGTCTCGCCTTCCCTCCATCCTGAGATGTGATGACCATACATACGTGGGCATCCTGAACACGACTGATGCCCTCCTTTGTCCTGTCTAAGCCAGGCAATGTCTCAGACTGACTGCCCCTGGACATGAAGATCAGGAGTGAGAAACTGCTGCAGACCCCAACTGTGGTTCTGTCAGAGAGCCTCAAACCAGAAAAGTCTTTGCTAAGACCTGGAGCCAGGTATCAGTCTCCCAAGAACTCAGTAAGACAGTCACATAGCACATGCCACGTAACCACAGGGCAAAATGGCAATATCACACGCAACCTTCTAACAACACAGTATGATCATGTAACCATGTGACTGCAAAACAAGAGAACTTGGCCTAACAAGTCAGGAACCTAACTATAAATCAATGAGGACAGTCTTGTGAATCATAATTGGTTTTTACAATAGGGCCTTTTGGCTCGTGTAGAACATTTCAAACACAAAAACACAAGGAGAAAGGGCACAACATTGAATTTTGTTTTCAGTTTCACTTTGAATGTGTTTCCTTTTGATTTTTTATACTGTATTATTTGAGTGTGTATGTGTTTCTGTGAGGATGAATGAAGATGTGTGGGTCCAGGCACAGTGCAAATTTGGAGATTGGAGATCAGATTTCAGGTGTCCTTTCTTTCTACCGTATGGGTGCCAGAAACTGAAGTCAGAGTGTCAGGATTGACAGCAAGCACCTTTATCCTCTACACCATTGCCCAACTTTATGTTTGGAGACAGAGTCATATATAGCTCAGGCTAACTTCAAACGTACATCATCTAGGCTTGCCGTGAATGCCTGATCTTCTTCCTTCCACCTCCTGAGTGCTGAGATTACAGGCATGTCTCCATGTCCAGTTGACACAGTGTTGGAGACTAAGCCCAATATATTGTGCATGCCAGGCAAGAGCACTCTACCGACTGAGCCTCATTCCCAGCTCCCAAATGTGCGTTAGCATTCATTCATTCAGTAACATTTCCATAACACCCACTATGGGATAGATGTGCTGGGAGGCGGGTGTGCTGGTGACCAAGTGTTTGTGACTAAGTACGCAACTGATGTCCACTTAGTGGATGTGCAAGGAAGAGCCTGGCGTGGTAAGCAGGAGGTTCTCAGAACGTAGCTCTAGGGAGGAGTTGTGTGTGCCAAGAGTACTGGGGGACCGCACAGAAAGGGAAACCACAAGTGAGTGACGCTTTCAGTGTCCTTAGTAGTTCACTTTAACAGCAACTGTGTCCTTTACACATTTCTGTATGTAATGGGTTTTACTCATTGAGCCA